ACTAAACAGGAAGAGGAGGGAGGGGGACAGGGGAGGCAGGGAGGGTGATGGGAAGTGTAACAGTGCTTTTAGAGGTCATTGGAGTCATCTGGCAGGGATAAGCAAGCCTGAACGGAGCTGCCCCTACAGCAGCATGTGAGGCTGCGACATTCTCCTCTCCTGTGGCCATAGCACCCAGCTAAGGCTGCAGTGAGCTGTGAGATGATGGGAAGCACCTGTTGTGCCCAAATAGCAAGGGAGTCACATGCAGTGCCACCAGCATATCCAGCACTGGGGACCACAGCTGAGGGTATGCATCTCTCCTCTCACTGCTGCCAGGCACTCACTCGTGCTCCCTCAGCCCCAGCTGCTCTGGCAAGTTAATCCCTCCCAGTCAGGATTTTCATAGTGGCACCATGTTATTAAAACGTGTGAAAAACTTCTCCCATGCAGAAATAAATGTGTCAGCTTGGAAACAAGGGCAAGTGGAGGATGGAGCTGCATGGAGGAGGGACAGGTGCACAGGGTCCCTCCCCAGCAGCAGCGTTTCTGCCATTGCGTTGAGCTGAACTGCATAAAATAACTTACAGTTTAATTACAGGGGCTCCTGCTTGTTGGTGTCATTAATGAGGCAATTGGCTTAATTTAGCTGAATAAAAATGGCTTTAATAGTGGAAACACTTTTGGCTGCTGGGTAATTAAGGGAAAAGAAAAAAATGCTGTCTCCTCTTGCATTAAAGTCCACTTGTTCTGGTCCGCATGGATCTGGACTCCTCTTTGTTCCACCTTCACCCACCCCTTTTTTAACCCCAGGAGCTCCATGAAGCACTCCGTGGCCCCATCTGTCACTCACGCTGTGCCAAAATGGCAAAGGTCACCTCCCCTCCCTGTCGGCCACCAAAGCAAGGTCTTGGCAGTGCCTGCGGGAGCCGTGGGAGAGTGTGTGGGACACGGCGTGTCCCCCCTGAAATTGAGGGAGCGAGCAGGAACTGGGATTTAGCTGTCACTCAGTGGTAACCTTGCCCTTGAGGTGTGCAGTGAGGTGCTGCTGGAGGGGGCTGCTGGGGACAGGAGTAGGAGCCTTGGGAGCACAGCTGCGGCAGCAGGAGGGCTGTGGAGCGGTGTTGAGCCTGAGCCATGGGTGGGTTGGGTGGCTCTGCCCTGGATCTGGTCCAGGTGAGCTCTCTCCAACCCCTTCTCCCTACTCAGCTCCTTTTGGAGGCAAAAAGCACCCTGGCAGCTACTTCTAGAGACTGTCTCCATGGAAAAGAGCATCTTGTGAGTGATGGAGAAAATGTCCCATGGCAAAGAAGCACTTTGAATATGTTCCAGGAGTGCTGATGGCAGATCTGTCCTGGGAGAGACAGGCTCTGTTCATTGCTGAGAAAAACGCAGGGAAGGCATTTTGCTTCCCTCTGCCTGTGTTTCCTTGATGTGTGATGTGCTGTATTTTGTTACAGGTGGAACTGATGCATAGGCTGTTATAAAGGTTGTCTGGCACACTGCTACAGGACTGCTTCCACTTTCCTATAATTCTGCCAAATTTTAATTGCTCAGACTGAAGTTTTCTGTTTTGGGTGTCTTCTCCTGGCTGATTCTATTTTTTTCTTATTTCTTTCTAGTTTCACATAAGGCTTTCTCAAATGTTTAAGGTGGTAGAAGGGAGGTTGGGAAAAAGCTGTTTTACTCAAGATAGAAAGTGCTGGTGATGCTGCTGTTACAGAGCATTTGCATTCCCCTTTTGTGGAGGGAAAGAAATCTTGTCAAAGGACAGATTTTGCTTGGAAGACTTGGTTTTGCTCAGAGACATAGGTCAGCAGAATGGCTCTTGGTCCAGTTGGAGGGGAGAAGTTTTTCAAAGGCTATTCAGGAATAAGGGAGAGAGGAGTAGCAGCTCTTCTTGGGACACTGCTGTTGGTGTGGGAGGGTATAAAAGTGGGCAAGATCATAGGAAGTTTGGGTGTGGATAAGGAAATTGAGGCTGAGAAATATTTGGGAGAGGTTGGAGAGCAATGAGGAGTGCATTTCAGCCAAATAGGAGGGAGAAGCAAATGGGTCAGGAAGGAGAGAAACTGGCACTGCTCAGCCGCAGCATAGGGTGATGGGGTTCTTGTCACTCCAGTAATAGGGATTTGGAGGTGGCAACAGGCTTGGAAATGCTGCAGGAAGGCAGAATGGGCCCTTGAGAGGCTCTGATTTGGAGCTGTGAGAGGACTAGCTCTGGATGTGAGTGCCTTGATTTTCCCCAACGCTCCCCCTTTATGCTGTACAGAACAGTGGGAAATTTGGTGTGTGCAGCTGGGGTTTGTGACTGTGGGGAACCCTGCAATCACCAAAAAGGAGTTACAAAGTGCTGGAGCTCAGAGCCTGACCTGTGGAGCCATAATTTAATCTCCTTGTGTGCATGTACTGTGATTCCCTCTCTAATTACAGAATCACATGCTTCCTTCCCCAGGAAACCTGTCCCATCCAGCATGTGGGATGGATCTGTTCTGGGGAGAAATCACTACTGTGCAGTGAGGTTTCTCTGGAGGAGCTCTATTTTCTGCAGCACAAGTCAGTAGCTGTACCCTTTTGTATGTGGAATCCCAGTGCTGGCATCTCTGACCTTTGGAGGTTTTGTGACCGAAATGGTGCATTTTTAATGTGTGTCTGTGTGCAGCTCCTTTCGGTCTCTGTGCTGAGGTCTGTCTCTGAGCCTGAGGAAGGACCTTTGTGATGGTTTGGAGTTCCCAAGGTGTCTGTTTCCAGTGACAGGCATGTTCCTCCCTGTGTGTGTCCGGGCATGGAGCCGTGGGTGTGTGTCCCCCTGACCAGCCCTGCAGAAGTTGATGGTCAGGTCAGATCAAACGCTGGCTTTGCCCTTTGAGAACAGTCTCCTGCCAGATGTGTGCAAGGGAAGAGCCATCTCCTCTGTCCCTAATGCTTGCTGGGGGTTATTGTCTGGGAGAGGGAGGAGGTGGTAGGAGTTGGTTTCCAGGCACTGTGGGAGAAGAGAAGCGGAGCACATCTGCCTGGCAAAGCCCCCTGCATTAGTGAGGATGTATCCTTTCTCCATCTCTCTGTGTCCTAAATTGTAATAACACGATCATGCTATTTTTGATTCCCTTATTTGCGTGGAAAGCCTGTTGTTTTTTCTCTTCTCTTTCAGAATCCAATTTTCTCTTGACATTTCTGCCTAATGTAGCAAAACATGACCTTTGAGAAAGGACATTCCAGCGAGATTCACTCCCTCCTCTGCATTTCTGCCTCTCTCCCACATCTTGCTGTCTCTCATGCATCCCCTTTACGCTTCCTTCTTCTCCCTGGGCTGGGGGAGGGAGTTTACTGTCTCACTTTTCAGTAACAGTGAGTTGCTCCTTCCCCTCCCACTTTTCATCTGTCTTTGCAAAATTTCCAGGTGCTCAGTGCTCTGGGGTGGATAAAGGACGGAGTCTTGTAATATTTTTCTTCCCCCCTGCTTAGCTTTACCTGCCATTTTTGCCACCTTTATCAGAGGCTGGAAGCAGTTTGTCTACAGACGTGGGATGGTGGGATCACAGTCATGTGAAATGAGGTACCTGTGGTTTGCTGTGGTTCCCACAGCGGGATAGTCTGATGTGAAGCAGAGCCAGAATTTAAAAAGGCAGCACTGTGCCATCATTGTGTTTGGGCTTGTTCTTCTGCCAGGCTCATGGAGAGCCTTTGGGACAATGCTTTGCTGTGTGAGCAGCTTCCCCACTCCTAATTGCAGAGTTGTGTGCAGGTGGGACAGGACCAGAATTTCTTTTCCCTTGCTGAAACTCAGTGTAAGGGAAGAAATGAATCTGTCATCCCAAATCCTCGTGCATCAGATCTGTGCCAGCAGGAGCCATTCAGGGGTTTGCTCTCTTGGTTTTAGCACTTATTTGCAAATCAAACGGGGTTTGGGGGCTGAGCCCTGCACAGCTGGACTGCCTTGGGTCATACCTCCTATTTGGCCAGCCCAGAGCTGAATGAACCTCAAGTGATTGATGCCTCTGGTTCTTCATTGCTCTTCCCCGTGGGCCAGGCTGAGGCAGAGGGGCTGCCCTGCCTACCTGTGGCTCACAGCAGGGATGGATTTGGTGAAGGATGTGAGGCAGCACCTTCTGTGTGCTCTGGAGGCCAGCAGAGATGGGGCATTTGGGGTTCTCCCAGAACTTGTGATCACCCGTTCCTCTGCTCACTCCCCCATGGACTGCTCACTTGCTTGGTGGCTCACAGGCTGGCCAGGTGTCCCTGGGAAGGCTGGCCAGGACAGAACGTGTTTCATTACCATCTTTTTGTGCTGTTAGAAACCAGGGGCTGTTCTTCTTCTGCTCACCCTGCTCCAGACACATTTCTTCCTCTTGTTTCTATTAATTCAGTTCCTTTTACATTCTTTCATCCTCTCTGGCTTTCAGCTAAAGAGAAGATCTCTGCTGGGTTGCAAAGCTCTCCCAGGTAGATGAGATTTATGTTTTTGCAAGTTCGGGCAGATGGAGAGAGGGATGGGGAGCTGTTGGCTGCTGTAGCAGTGGTACCCCTGGGTGCAAGCAGCACACAGCCATTCCGGGACACCTGGAATGCACAGCTACTGCAGATCATATGATAACACCTTGGGTAATCATCGTGCTGTCATTTGAACCTGGCTGTTACTATTTTTAACGTGAGGTTTGTACTTAATTTTTTGTTCAAGTTCTGAAATTAGTCTTGCTCTTTTTGCTTATGGTTGGTTGAGCTCCAGATTCATGGGCAAGAATCAGACATTGGATTTTTTTTTTTCCTTAACATTGCAGCAGGTTATAAATCACTTTTCCCCTTAACAAAAAAAAAAAAAAAAAAAAAAAAAAAAAGAGAAACTTTCATTTGGGTTTGTCCTCATTAAAATCTCTCATTATGAAATCTGAACTTGGGTTCTAAACTGCTTGACAGCCTCCCCGTCAAGGAGGATGATGAGATCTGTGGAGGTGGTAGGGCCATGTGCAGGAAGAATTATTTACAGTGACTACTTTATTTTTTTTTCTCCCCTTAATTTTCAGAGACCTCTCTGGGAACCGGCTCACCACTCTGTCATGGCAACTCTTCCAGACACTGCGACTCTTTGAACTGTAAGTCCCACCCTGGGGGTATCTCCTGGGAAAAGACAGGAGGCTGAGAGGAGGAACGATTTCCAAATAGAGTTATTTTGAAGCCAGTGAATAATTACCTAAAACTCCAGTGGGCAGCAACATCCTTGGAAGGCTTTCCTGGGTATGGGAGCACCAGAGCAGAACTGCTTCTCTTTTAACTTCACAGCAGCTGGCTAATTAATGCCGGGATGATGAACAAGTCATGCTTGGAGTAGTAAATGGTTGACTAACTCTGGGAGCACATTAGAAATACTTACTAGGCCAGATTTTGAGTGAATCTCTTCAAACACTTGCTCTCATCTGTCGCAGGGTAGAGCTAACTGCTTTTCTTTATTTGGTGCACATGCTTTACAAGAAAGCCCTGATTTTTAGGCCCATGATTCCCTTTCTCTCTAGCAATGGAGACACCTCCCAGCTCTGATGTGGGAGGTGATGAGATAGTTGTGTCTCCTGGGGCACTGGTGGCCTTCAGCCTGCTGAATTATTGATAGAGCATTCAGCATCGTGCTTGAAGAATAAGTGGACACGAAATCAATGGAGCGTTGCCCTGATGACCTGTTTTGTTGAATTTTAGGAATAGTTGTTTGGTGGGTATAAAAAAATATATATGTAGGATTTGTCCCAGAGGATCCTGGGAAGCTCCATTCATCGTCACCGATGATCAATAGAGCTGTAAGCTAGAAGTGACTTATGAAAGAATAAAGACAGTCTTTCAAGTGGGAGTAAGTGTGTTATCACTGGTGTTACTGCAGTGTATTTTATTTCTGTCAAATTGTTAAATGAAAAATACTAATAGTGATATTAGAAAATGGAGAAACGCCCTTCTAATGGGGAAATTTGGCTTGCAGAGTTAAAATGCTGAATTCAGAATTTGTCTCCTTGCTGATTACAGCTCTAAATATTTTTCAAGCCTGGCTCGGGTTTCAAGTTTAATAGCATGAGTCATTTGTATTCTTAGACCTTTACTTATTGTCATTGCACTGTCTGGCAAAACTCAGATTGATGGTTGTTACCCAAGAGAGACCCAAGAGTGGAGGAGCAAATGGGACTGCAGTCCTGAGCTGGAGGCACTCGCAGGGCCTGGGGTAATGGTGAGCCTGCAGATTAATGGGAATACTTCCAAAGGAGCTCGTTTTTCTATGCTTTTGCTTCATTTGGTCATATTTTGTTTCTTCAGGCATGTCCCAGGTCTGCCAGCTCCAGCCAGGCTCAAAAGACCAATACCAAGCACAAAGGGAATTGAGAAGCTGCTTTTTGGGCAGCAGAGGGTATTTCACCTGATGAATACGTCTGTGCTGTCCTGATATGGTGATCCTGGCAGAGAGCTGGTGTGCATGGGGTGGCTTTGGATGGTGTCAGCAGAGTCACCTGGGGCCAGAACTCTGCAGCTTGGCCAGCAGGAAGGAGCTGAATTACCTGGCTCCAGTTGGAGCTGTGCTCCGAGCAGCTTTCTTGGAGATAATAAATCCCAATGAACCAAAGAAGTAGTGCACAAAGAAATGTGGGAGATCACAGGGCTGGTTGGTAGGAAGCCATGGTGGGGTGGGAAAGCAGAACTGATGTGGTGTGTGTTGTCCATGGTGTCCCACGGGGAGGTTTGGCACCGTGTGGGGCAGGAGCCTCAGCTGAACCTCTCCTGCTCCAGGCTGTGAAAGGGGTCTTGGCAAACAAACCTCTGGCACCAGCTCCAGTGAGCAATTTAGACCTACAAAAGTGCCTGCCCACAGGGACTGCCTTGCTGCTGGCTGGGCTGGACTAAGAGCCTGGTCAAGTTAATTTTTCCTAAAGAATTGTTTTAGGTGCTTCCTGACAAATGTTCCCCTCTGAGTAACTAAGGAGCCTTCATCCACATAGGCACAGCTAGGATGGAGATTACCAGAATAACGTGGTGATGCTGATCCCCAAACACAAGAGGAAAGGGATATTTTATCTGATATCCATTGGGATGTCTGTTTTTAAGGGGCAGGGGTATGTGCCTGCAGCATCCTTCCTGGGGCCATGCTGAATTTTGGAATTGTCGTAAAAAAGGCAGCACAGAGATGTAGCCTGAGCTATGGGCTCTGAATAATCATTCACATAAAGATGTTGGGAATTAAGGTAAACACATGTTACCTACTGTGAGGTGGTTGTGGTCCTGACTGCTAGAAGGATGGGACCTGTTGGTGAGGAAGAGCAGATCTCCAGAGTTGGGGAGAAATTACTAGTGGATCCACAAAAGTCGGAAATACTGTATTTTTTTTATTTTTTTTTTTTAGAAATGCAGAGGATGGGTGAGTAAGAGACAGTTTTTTGGCACATTGAGCTCCTAGGAGGCTTACAGAACCTGGGAAAAGGAGATGGAATACATGGCCCACATAAAGTGAGTGTGAAACACTGGTGAAAGCTAGAAAGGGAGTTGCAGATTGACATCAGCCAAGGACTTGAAACTGAGCCCAAAATTCTCTGGAAAGGGAGAAGGTGGTGAGCAGCAGAGGCCGATGCAGAGACACCAGCCTGAGGAAGGCAGGCTGAGTGAGCAGCAGCCTTTGTGCACAGCAGTGGAGAGACCAGGAGACTCCAGGGACACAGAGAAGCTGACCGGAGTCTCTTCTCCAGAGGGTTACATCTTTGTGGAGGGTTGGTGGAACAAGTGGGTGCAGAGGCTCACCAGAGATGCCTTGTACTGAATTCCAGTGCCCCTGTGCTATCAGGAAATCGTGGATCCAGAGGAAGGAAAGTCATCCAAGCCAAAACCGTGACTTAGAACAAGGCAGCTTGGAGCAGTGGAGCATGTGGTGAGGGAAGCAGTGGGAGGATTGTCTCCAGGAGAGAGCTGGGAGGAGAGGAACTACAACTGAGTGTGACATGGAGATTGCCAGGGAACACGAGACGTGACAAAGCCACTCACAGTGAACAATGAGGAGTAAAGATCAGAAGAGTACTGGGCAGGTGGATGGCAGCTTGGGGCTTGAAATTGCTGCTTGGCTGCATCCAAGGTGTCTCAGCCTTATGAAGGAGGTAATGCTTTAAAGAAGAATTTCTTGTTCAACAGAGCTGAGATTTTTCCCTGCTGACTCACTGAAGAAAGGATGGCAAAAATGAGGCACACTTCCAGAGAATATTATCTCTTGCTCGTTCTGGCCAGAAACAAGGTTTGGAATTGTTTCCAGTAACTCCAGCCCTAATTCCCATGGCATGGGCTGACCTTGACCAGCAGGGCTCAGGCTAATGAGTGCACAACTCTCCTAAGTCTGAAGCTGAGTGTGTGCAGGGAAGCATCTGACACATGCAACAGCTCATAAATGCTGGACTTAGAGCCTTTCTTATCCAGAAGTCACAGCTGGTTTCCTCTGTCATGTCCTTGGCTTCCTTTGTCATATCCTCAGAGAGCTTAGAGCTGACATTTCAAGAAATTCCTTCCCGGAAAGACCTAAGACTCTGGATCCAATTACGTCCTTGGTTGTATAAAACCTTGTAGTCCTGAATATCTTGCTGCTCTGCCCAACCCATCAGCATTTCTAATACCAGCAGTCCCTGCCAAGTTGCCCTGCAGTACATTTCTGCAATGCTACAGCAAGAGGCTTTGGTAGGGATGGGGCACAGCAGCCTTTCTGTTAATGTTATGAGTCCAACTTAACATGGTCTGTGCCTCCAGCTTTGAAACTTATCAACACCAGCAGTCCCAGTAATAGAGCTGTGGCCAGACAGCGGGTACTTGCCTGTTCTCTGCGTTAGCTGAGCCAGCTGTCAGACAGCACACACCACTCCCTGTCCCAGTCCTTCCCTTCCTATCCCAGCCCCTTCTGGCAGGGGTTCAGAAACAACAGTTTTGGTTGGACCACCAAGAGAAACACTGGTTCTGGGAAATTAATAGGAATAAAAAAAATAGATTTTGTTTTCTCTCTGCTGCGAGCTCTTTGCTTCTCAAGCTTAGGGAAATGGCCTCAGTCCCAAGGTAGGAAGAGCATTTTAATTGTAAGAGTATGAATCCTTGGCAGGAATTTTATGTGAATTGAAACAGACAGGAGAAGTGTGGCAAGGATCTCTGCTGCCCTCTGAGAGGTTTTAGCTGCAGACAGCTTTGCTTTAGCTGATGACTGGGGAGGCATGGGACAGGGCATGTGTCTCATTTAGCTGCCTAGTCTGGAAAAAAACTGCTTGTGTGTATGAAGTCCCTGTCTGTTCCAGAGCACACTGGAGTGTTGATGGCATCTGTCTCCCACACTGGTCCACCCTGGTGAAAGCTGTCCAGGCAGTTTTGGGAGATAGTGGGTACAGCTCTCTGCAGGGAGCAAAGCTGGGCTCAACCAAGCATCAGCAGCATCAGTTTTGTTGAAGAGTTGACTTGATGCCTGCTTGGCTCTAGGGTTTCAGTTTTGATGGGTCATTGTCCCATCAAATGGCAGGTCATGGCTGCCATGATTGCCACAATTTTCCTCTTTCACAACCATAGTGTTCCTGTTTAGGGAAGGCGCCTGAGTACACCCTGCTTACCACTCTCTGCTTATGGTGCTGGTGGATGGCTCTGTCTCAGGTGCAGCTTCAGTCCCTTTTAGGATGAACTCCTTGAGTCACAGAGCAGCTCTGCTTGTGCAGAAAGCCCAGCTCCCTTGCAGCTGTGACATTTGCTATTTCTCACAGGCATTTTCATTTTTAAGGAGGGCTGAAGAAAGTGTGGGGGTGTGCATAGCTCCTGCGTGCCTGCAGCCAAGCACAATTTGGCAACAATTGCAGCCTGCATGCAAAAAATGCCCTTTGGGTTTGTTTGCTTGTTCCAGGATTAAGTTGTGCTGGATGTGTCCCACAAAGAGCCTCTTGCCTTAATTCTCTCTGGGGTGCTGCTGCACCCGTGGTCTGCAGCTCGTGGCAGTGTCCTCTGGTCCAACACTTGTGTTTTGTCCAAAGGGCACCTTGTGGTTCCCAAGGTGCTTCTCCTTCTTGCAGGAAGAGAAGGTGCATTTATGTCCACAAGCAGAGGGTTGTAGGTAGTGGAGGTGTTACAGAAAAGTGAGAGGGAAAGGCTGGAAGCAGCTGCAATGGACCATGAAAGGAAAGGGGTCTGAGGAGACAGTTGCAAGTCCAGGTTTTTGGATGAGTTCAGGACAATGTGAGTGTGGAATTCCCTATGCACCTCTTTGGGCAGCTGGCTGGCATGGCAAGGCAGGCACCAGGCAAGGAGAAAAGGGTATTTTCTGCATGTTAGCAATGCTTTAGCAGTGCATGTGAGGGACAATGCGTGCACACATGTGCCCCTTCTACCTGCAGCGCTGTGCCAGCTGCCTGTGGCACTCAGCACATCCAGCCCCTGTGATGTGATGGGAGTTAATTTGTGCAAAAGCCCCTCTGGGGGTCTCGATTAGAGCGAGTTACACTGCTGTGTTGGGGCAGGTTGTGGGGAAGTTCTGCCCTGAAGCCCGTGGCTCCTGTATTATTCATGGCCCTTCATGAATTAACAATGGGCCAGGAAATCTGCTGTCTATTACTTACAGAGCTGCCCTTAAGTGCTAGGACAGCAGCTCTCCCAGCAGCCTCGTTTTGTGAGGATATTTGCAGCAGTGCAGAATTTCTCCCCCACTGCACCTGAGCTCCCCCAGCTCCCTGCCAGGTCGCAGGGTACATCCCCAGTTATCTGACCTGCCCTTACCCACTTGCCACCCCATATCCTGTTGGTATCAGTGATTCTGGGGGGCTCCTGAGGGGGACATTCATGCTTGTGTAGAAGAGGATGTAAAGCCTGTGCAAAGCTCTGGCAGTACCTGTCAGAGCACGCAGGGAATGTCTCATCACTCAAATCACTGCGCTAATCTGCTCTGGTCTGTTAAATTTAGTGCTTTGGCCTTTGAGTTGCTTGTCTGAGCCTTGTACCTGTGTCACAGAGGTTTATGTGCTTTTGGTGGGAAAGAAATGAACTAATGAAAAGCCACAGAGTGAAGCTTAACTCAGTGTTCGCTCTGAAAAAAAAGGTCAGATGACATCTTGATGTATTTGAAAATGCAAAGTGGCATCATTAGGGTTCAGGTTTAGCAACCCTGGGTGCTACCAGAAGACCCCTTCAGTTCCTCCTCTTGCAGCATTGTATTGACAAAACAGCAGCTGCAGATGTTTGGAAGGTCGTTTCCAAATCCTGTTAGTCGGTGAAATTAATTTTGTAAAAGCAAGCATGAATTTTGCAGTAACACGTGGAACACAGCAGGAAAAAAGCTTTCCCCTGTATGATGGGGGATCTAGATATCACGTGAAACAATGGTTTGACCTTTGGAGATGCCCTTCTGCTTTGGGGTGACTGAGCTCATCTTTGGCACTGCTGGCTCTGCTGATCCCAGCTTTCTTTGCTTTACGGTTGTGCGGGGAGATACTTTGTTTGTTCAGGCTGTAACTCCTAGTTTTGCTCAAATTATTGCAACCAGCTTTGGTAGCTCAGTCCTGGCTGAGCACTGGGCTATTCTCCCTGCTGGGACTTGGCCTTCTTGCACATCCATAGACACCTGCAGAGCTTTAAAAATGTAAATGAAATGGTTAATAGCTTGGAAAATCAATTATAATAAACATTCTTGGTATATAAACTATGTGTAAGTGTGGTTTAAATGAAGTACATTAAAGGCAGTGCTTTTCTCCATTTCTCCTGGCCAGGTCAGCAGGGTCTCAGCACAGTGCTGATTGATTTGATTAAAATGCATGTTCCTCTGCACATTAGCTTGTGTTCTGGGTCACCAGGAGCCTGTGTTTGTACAAGGAACTTGGGAGAAGAGCTGCCAGCTTCTCTGAGTGCTTGTGGGGGCTTGGGTTGTGCTTTGCCCAGCAGAGTCTAGGACCACCACTGAAGTGGCATTTGAAGGTGTAAATTGATATTTTAGGGCAGTAGAGAGCTGTCTGCTCCTTTGCTGAGGGGTGACTCTTCTGGGTGTCTGGGTGACAGTGGGACCAAGGCACAGTAGTGCAGATCTTGTGGTGAGAGACAGTGAATGTGTCTTTGTGCTGCCCTGGGAGATGTAAAACCTCGTGTGCACTCATGAAGGAGACTGTGTGAATGCAGGGATGTGTGACTGTGGCAAAGACAGGAAAAATAAGTGCCAGAAAACCCCAGGCAGATAACGTGGAGAAGATTCTACTTTAGCTCTTACACATGCATGGTGGCTGTCCTCCTTGGGGATCCCAGAGCCAGGTGACAGCCCTGCTCATCCTTCCCCATCCCACCATCCTCTCTCACCTCTCTCTGCCCGCAGGAGATTAGAGAGGAACCTTTTTAACTGCAGCTGTGACATCCGCTGGATCCAGCTCTGGCAGGAGAAGAGTGAGGCAAACCTGCAGTACCAGGATCTCTACTGCATGACCATGGATGCAGCCATCATCACTTTGAAGGAGATGAACATCACCCAGTGTGGTAAGGATCCCTGGGCAGGACATGAGGGAGGCCAGGAGGGATCCCTGTCCAATCCAGCACCTCAGGTTCAGGAACCTGATGCAGCAGGAGCCCACCTTGTGCTTGAGAACAAGAAGGTTGAAGCTGGTTGGGATAGTTTGTAGATTAAAAATAGAATATCTGGGTAAATGTGAGGTTGCTATTAATGTGCATATGAAAGATATTGGGTGATTTGGGGCATTTTCTTCACTGCAATGCTGCTGCCTGACAAAGTGTCTGTAGTGAGGCTGTGTGATGTCTTGAAAAGAGCTGTTTCATGTAGATCTTCCTGTGCCTAACGAATCCTAGAAGCAGCATATTGTTAAAAGACACTGACATAGAATCTTCTGTAATTACTCTTAGGAAATACATGTCTCTATTCATTTACTTTTATTTTTCAATTGAAATCCCATGTTTGTAGGGAAGAGCCAGAAGTGACTTTATATCTCTTTCTATTTCCTGCTGATGTTTAAAAGAGTCCAGCAGCCCCAGGAGCAACACGAGGCATGTTCAATAGTTATCCCTTTCTCCTTCACCTTGTTCACACATCAGCTGCCTGTTTGGTGTCAGGTTTTGCTCTACTATTGCTATTACTGGAAAGCATCCGTTGCAGAGTAAGGAAAAAGAGATGTACCTTCCACAGAGCAATTAAACTGTCTGTACACAAGCAGCTGTCAAACTCACAGGCTGAAAAAAGGAGGAAAACCAGATTTATTTATTTTTTTATATAATCATCCTCTGTACTAGGGATTTGGGCTTGTTGCTTGTAGCAGTAGTAGACTGCATGCAAACAGCATGCACGTTTGGATTTGCCTGACTTGTTTTTTTTATTGCTTTGTTGGTTATTTTTTTTTTTTCCAAGTTCACCCTGTCCCTTTAAGCTCTGGAAACTGGCCAAAGTGTGCCTTTGTGTGGATGAACTAAAAAGATTTGGGAGTGCTGTAATTTCCGCCCCACATGGGATGAATAAGCTGCAAGGATTAGACAACAACAAAAAAAATCCTTAGGGATCAGGGACAGGAGGAGAGATGGCTCCATCAATGGTGGCATTAGACTGCAGGGGGACAGCAGGGTGCTGATTTGGGAGCAAAAATGTGCTGGTAAGCAACTCCCTTGACCATGCAAACTCCTGGAAGGGCAGGGAGGCACAGTGGTCTGCTTTCCTTCAGAGGAGTCTTTCTGTTCATGCATTAAGACTCCAGGGATGTTGATTTATCCTTGTCCTTTGGTGCTGAGGGCAGGCATGGCTTGGTGTGGCCATGTTTGATACCAGCTCAGCCTGGTGAAGACCATACATGTTGTTCCCATCTCCCTCTCCACTATTCCTGCCACCTACGCAGCTTTGGCAAGTTTTGACTGCTGCTTGCTTTCTTCTGGCATCACCCTAATTGGTACAATGCTCCTTCCTTCCTGGTGTCACTCTCTGATGGCCATGAAGGGATATGTGTGTCCCCATCCATGACTTTTCCTTGGCATGATGGATGCTGCTGTTCTGAGGTGGGATGGGACCACTGGTCAGTTCCTCCTGCCCTGCTTACTCAATTTGTCTCTGAACACCTCCCCTATTCATGAAGACTCTTTGGCCTTCTTGCAACCAGCACTGTCTTGTTTCACGTCACAAGGATATTTGGTGCCTGTGGCAGCAAGCAAGGAACTGGTGTAAATCAGAGCCACCATAAATCAGTGAATCCCTCTGCTACCACCGAGGAAGAACAAGGGCACCTTCTATTAGGAGAGCTGCAGTTAATATGAGGACACATCCTTGGTCATCTTTTCTTGATTGTTATAAATTAGAGGGACACTTTCTTCACCTGGAATGCTGAGTGCTCTTTGCCTTGTCCCTGGACGTGGGGATGCCTTGGATCCTTTCCCAGTACACACAGTTTTCTCATCCCAGGTGACTGCCCTCGTGAGCAGCTTCTGGGGAAGTAGAGAGATGGGTATGGGAATTGTGTGAGAGGAACTGTGGCCAGAACTGGACAGCAACTTTTGGATTCAAAGCTGATGAGAGGGTCTGCTCAGCCGGCACATCTCCAGTGTCTACTTTTTCCCCTGTCTCCAACACCTCTCCTTATCTTGGTTGGGCAAGGCCATTCTGTTGCCTCATGGTACTCATCTCAGGGTGCTGGAGGCTGATTTGGAAAGCAGCTTAGTGGGATATGGATCCACACACTTCCTGTGGCTGGCTGTAGAAAATTCTGCCCCAGGCCTGAGCAGTTTTCTTTGGCTCCTCTAGACCTTCCTGAGATCAGTGTGAGCCACGTGAACCTGACGGTGCGGGAGGGGGAGAACGCGGTCATCACCTGCAATGGCTCAGGATCGCCGCTGCCGGACGTGGACTGGACAGTGGCTGAACTCCACTCCATCAACACTCACCAGGTAGGGACTGCAACACCCCAGTGCTGCCTGTGCCCAGTGTGCAAGAGCAAAGCACCCCCCAGGGTTTCCCAGGTCCATGCATGCAGGGCAGAGGGTAAGGTAGTATGAGAAAAGAGAAATTGCTGTATCCAAAGGAAAGCTGAAGCTGTGCTCTATCCACATGAGAAGCTGGGAACTCCCAGAAGGGAGCAAAACCTTTCTTCTGTATGGCCAAAAAGTGAAGATGAGGGAGCTTCAGAGCTCAGTGCTCCCTGATTGAATTAACTCTTGTGTCCTCTGTTGGAACTCCAGTGAAACGAGCTGTTTGCAATAGCTAAGTAAGATTTTCTAGAGGCTGGCCGTGCTTATCAGTGCTACAATGCCACGGCTCTCCCCTTCCCAGTATTTCCTCTTACAAGATGTGCTGTGTTTGATCGGGTGAGGAAATACCTCCCTTCACCCAGATCCCACCTATCTTTGGATTTTGGAGACCTCCTTACACGGAAACTGTGATCCTCCTTTTCTGGGGTGGTAGAGGGGAGGAAAGGAGCCACCAGATACTGATTTCTGTCTGTATTTCTCTCTGGGATTTTTAGACCAACCTCAACTGGACCAATGTTCATGCCATCAACTTGACCTTGGTGAACGTCACCAGTGAGGACAATGGATTCCTGCTTACCTGCATTGCTGAGAATGTGGTGGGGATGAGCAATGCCAGTGTGCTGCTCACTGTCTACTGTAAGTACCAGTGGAGAGACCTTGTCCATACAGAGCCCGGAGGGGCTGCCCTGGGAGCTGTTTGAATGCATGGCCACTTGTTACCTGTGTCATACTGGTTTTGTGGGTGAAGATTAGGAGGGGCTGAGCACAGTGAGCTGGAGGTGGATCCTCACATTGCTCTCCCTCTCAAATGTCAGTAATTTTGCTTTCCTGATGCTTCCATTAATCCAGAAATGAGCACAAGAGCAGGGAAGGAACAGCAGTGCCACAGTGGTGGTGGTGGGAATTTCCTGCCCGTGTCTTGCAAGATTCAATAGACTAAAGAAAAGCCATAGAGGGACTAAAAATCTCTTAACAAAAGCAAAGTTTCTTGTCTTGATGCTATGTGAAGGTTCAACAGCACCCTTGCTAAAGACAGTTTAAACCTTGCCACTAATTTCAGGGATGTTAGGGTTTTCTCTCAGGTCAGATCCTACAAAGTTAAACTGCAAATGTCACATGAATGTGAATGTGTCAAATTTGAACTGTTCACTTTTATCTGCAAGTAGCTCAACTTTCTTTGTGCTTTCTAATATAACAAAACCCTGACCTTAAAAGGAAGTTTACACAGCTTTGTGGTCTCAAGCAGCTGAGATTTGCTCTGTTTTGCTGTGTCTGTAATATTTGCCCTTACTCTGTAGTTTGAAAATCTGTTCCCCCACCTCAACCTTGCCATGTAGAGCAGAGACCCTTGTGGGATTCTGGCTACTCTTGGTAAACCCATTCATCCTGTGTGATGCTTTACTACTTTCATCTTCCTTCCAATAAGTGCTATTGATGGATTGAAGGCTGGAGGTAATTAAAGTGCAGCCCAGCTCAGAGCTGACTGGTCAGCAGATGGGTGTTTTTTGCACCGTGTTTTAACATCTATTCCTCCCCCCCTTGAACAGCACTATTCCCATGCTTATTTTCACCAGTGAAATCCTCTAAGCTGCTGACAGTTTCTGCTACCCTTGCTCTTGTTGCACAGAGCCATCACTCAGGCTGTAATTTTACACTGGAAAGATCTGGGTTTGTGCACGTAGGTGGCTGCCTGTTTTGAATCCCCTTGCCAGGAAGATATGAACAAGCCACATGCGGATCTGGGCTCACGAACAAAAGAGGGTGGCTAGGACATGACTGTGTGGTTCAGGGTAGATGGGCGCTGTTGAGAGAATTTTGCTGATCTCCAACCAGCTCTGCACCCTTTTCTCTTTTGTCAGCTTCATTGATTTAAAAATTCACTGTCTTTTTTCACAAAGATGGGTCAAATTTGTTTTGTTGGTTTTCTTCCTCGTGGATGTCGAATGGATTGTCTTTGCAGCTGGATGGGTAGCAGGAAAAGGAGAGTTTTAGGGAAGACATACATCATTGTGTCATGTATCTTCGCACAAAACTTGTTCTTCTAGTTCAGACCTTGCCAGCCTTGGGGTTTGGGACCTTAGGTGTAGGCGTTGTAAATGGGGTTTCAGAGGCTATAGCAGAGCAACATTTGAATTCTCGGTGTGTCCCAAGGGGAAGACAATGCATATGCAATAAATTGCAGGTGGAGTTTCTGCTTTTCTTATCCCTCTCCCACTCTACTCCCTTTAATTAAAACACCCCTGGAGGCTGTTCGGCGAGTGAGAACTCCTTTGGGATATTCAGGCAGTCAAAGCCCCCAAGGACAGAGAGCCTCTGAGGGATGTTTGCTTCCACAGCTATGCAATCCAGAATTGCTCGGTGTGACTGGAGACCTCCCACGGGCACCTTGCACATCTGTAATGTAATGTAACAGTGCTATGTCACCGTGTCCTCCTTAATGGGGACAGGCAGTCTCCCCAGGATCCCTTGGGGGAAGGAGAGCAGCAGTAGATGTTTGGACAGGACAGGTCAAGCTTAATTTTTTCTGGGCTGGTGAAATTTCCATCCCTCCCTTTTATTTATACCCCTGTTTGGAAGGCCAAGGGGCCTGGCCATGGCTCAGACCCTCCTTTGAGGGAGGGTGGCGTGGTTCTCATGACAGCGCTTCTTTACAGACATCCATGGGAAGAGTAGAAGGCACAAGTGATTTTGGAGGTTTTCAGAGCTCTTAGTTTCCATAGTGCACAGAGTGGTGACGTTGGGTGGAGGTTGCTGTGAGCCTGCCATGTTTCTCTCTGCTAGATCCCCCTCGCATCCTTACTCTGGAGGAGCCGGTGCTACACATGGACCACTGCATTGCATTTGCAGTGCATGGAAACCCAGCTCCCACCCTTCACTGGCTGCACAATGGCCAGGTCCTCCGCGAGACAGAGATCATCCGCATGGAGTTTTACCAGCAAGGGGAAGTGTCTGAGGGTTGCCTGCTCTTCAACAAACCCACTCACTACAACAATGGCAACTACACGATTGTGGCTACCAACCAGCTGGGCTCAGCCAACCAAACTATCAAAGGACACTTCCTTGAAAAGCCTTTTCCAGGTAGGATGTTCAGTTTATCTCATCAGGGCTCCTTGCAATCCGAAGGTCTTACCAAGGCCCTGCCAGGAATCCTTGCACCTCAACAAGGCCTTGATAACCCAAGCTGGCTTTATCTGAACGTCAGGTTGGAAGAGGTGACTCCTGGCAACCTCTTCTTCTGGCCAGTATGATTTTCCTACACAAGTGTACTTTGGTGTCATATGAACTCTTTAATGCTGGGAGAAGTGCTAACTGCTTTGGGTAATTTTATTTTGTAGCATATTCTGCAGTGTAGGTATATATTTATTTTAAAGACCTTTAGGAATTTCCATGGGAATAGGATGTAAGTTTGGCCAATTATTTTGGATTTCCTTTTGTGTGCCCCAATGCTGAATTTTTTCTAGAGAAAGTGTTCTGCTGTGTGGTAGTCATAAGCTATAGAAAGGAAAAGCCTTTGAAGTGATGCAGCCTGTCCCTTTGTTTTTTTTTTACTTCTAGCTTGCATTTGAAATGATTAAAGCTGGATGCAGCGGTGTCAGGATTGTTTTCTTTCTGAATGCAATATGTGCAATTCCAGGATGACAGGGCTACAAAAGATGCGACAGCTCAATTAGTCACTTTGCATCAGTTTGCTGGGATTTCTTAACTGATTGCTTGGAATTCCCTGTTGCACTCCCTGGTGATTCACAGCTTAAGTGCAAAAAAAAAAAAAAAAGCATTTGAGTACATGAAGATCCATCTCTGGGAAGCGCTGTAGAGACTTTTGTGATGGCCTGTCTGCTCTGTGGGAGCATCCCTGACAGTGCAACACCATGCTGGCCATCATGGAGTTAAGATCTGTGCTGCCTTCAGGAATGATGCCATGAGAAAGTGGCAGCTCTAAATTGGCCCCTGCAGCCCAAGAAAATCCAGCAAAATAGGGCGTTTGCTAAATATAGCAAAATACCAACGGTACTCTCATTTATTATTTATATCACACCATATATGTACACAGAGTTTTCCCGCAGGTCAAATATCATAAATGCAAACCCAAATCTCTGCCTTGAAGATCTGACAATTGAACAAATGAGCTGATATGGATGGGAGTGGAAAATTTGTATTCTGACTTCAAGGATGCTGCCCTGTTTGACTATCTGACCTATTTATGTTTCCTTCTGTCAGGGCAGAAGAGCTTATCAAATGTAGGTGGGTGAGGAGAGATGCACAGGTTTGCAATCTCAGCTCTGTCAGGTCCCACCTTTGTGACTCAATTTGCCCAACTGTGAAACGAGGGCAGCTCCTAAGTAGGTGCTAGACCTGCAGGAAAGGGAGGCAGATATGCTGTTCTGGAGAGCTGATTTTGGAAAGGGATCTGAGCCACGCTGTGGTGTGGAAAATCACATTGATGTTTGAAGAGCATCCTGTGTTAGAGGCTCTGGGAGAACGGGGTTCTGTGAATATAGGTAAAATATTGCCCTTGTGAATGCAGCTCCACCCATGTGCTGTTGGTGTGGGGGGCTTACTGACGCTGAACCATCTCTCAGCAGGAACTGACCCATTCCCTTTATTTCTTCTGATCCAAAGTCCCAAGCCATTCCTCACCCTGGCAGGCCCTGTCAGCCCAATGCAGGATGTAATTTACTTTCCTTGAAGCTTGTTGCTTCGTCCGCTACCACAGCTGGCATATACATTCACTGCAGCTGACGTTTATAATTTCCCATTTGAAGGTAGATTCCTTCAGAAAATGCCACTGAAGGTTCCCCAGCGTGGCTCATTCAAGCCCCTTGTTGCTTACAGCAATTCACACGTGCAAGGACTTTGCTGTCACTACCCAGGGTGAGATTATTATTCTTAATTAATTAATGAAAGCACAGTGCCTGGAAAACTTTGTCAGCATAGAATAGGAACCATGACCATGTGTTTTAGCACTCCCTGGTCAAAAACCCCTCATCCACGCTGAGAGGAGCAAGGTGCTGTTAGAAGCTGGGAACTGAGACATGTAAGCTGCATGCTATATCTGCCTTCTCTCTGATGCTGCAGGGCAGTGGCTCCCAGGACAGATTTGTGTCATTTCCTGTAAAAATCTCATTGCATGTTGTCATTGGTATCTCTGCCACAGGCTACCAACTCCTTATTTAATCCACAAAGGTTAATGTACCTGTGATGAATGTTCAGTTCTTTGAGAACTTCTCACAGAACTCAAGTCAGCCTAAATTTCTTGGCTATTTTTTATGCTTTGAAAAATAACGTTTAATGGAAAAAGAACCTTTTTGTGAATTTCTGTTGAATTTGCTTAGTCCAGCAGAGAAAAATAGAAAGGGAAAAATGTAGAAGCAGCACGAATTTTATGACTAGACTCTGACTTAATAGAGAAGAAAAAGTGTCCAAATAATTTTTTTTCTTTTTTTCCCTCTTGCTAGAAAAAGCTAAGGAAAGTTACTCTTCTGCTTGACTTAAAATAAAAATATTTGTTCAGATTTTTTCCCCTGGTTTGTAAAGCCATGTTTGTCACCTGGGGTTTGTTTTACACTCCCAAACCTCACCCATGCTCCAGTGTGAGCATTCCAGCATCCTTCCAGAAGCCCTCTGCCAGCAGAGCTGTGTAAACTCCAGTTAATATTTGGCTCAGTTTTTACATGGGCAAGTGAATTGGAAGCACTCTGTGTAAACTGAGTGTCACCAAGGGCTTTGGACCTCACTGTCTGGGGCCTCGGCCACCTCTGGAGCTGAAGGAGCTTTGCTGAACAGACTGGAGCAGTCAGCAGGCTGACAGCAGGGCCTGCTCTGGGTGTCTCGGGCAAGAGGCAGCTCTTGGACAGCCACAGCCTCCCTGTCCAGTTCAGAAGCTATCAGCTGTTCTGGGTGGCTCATGAGTAGCAGGTCACAGGAGGTCTCCTCTAACTCCCAGCCCCAAGCTGGGCTCTCCTCCATGGGAGCTGGTCCTCAACCTTGAACGATTTTATCCGTGGGTGCACACTGCCATGCAAGGCACAGCCTGTTTCTCTCCCCTTCACCTTCATCCTGCAGAGCCCTGTGTGTCTGTTGAGCTGTGCTGAAGGCAGGGGTGTTTACCCACCATTCAAAAGCGCTACTTGTTCTCCATTTTGGCCTCACAGTAGTATCCCTCCCTCCTCTTTCAGCCCAAGGTTCTCCATCCTGACCTCCAGCATGTCCTGCTGGCACATGCGCTGCAATTTCCAGGAACAGCTGCCCAAGAGGAAAAAATATGAGAAGTTGGTTTCCTGGGCTCTTAGGGGTGGTGGAGGATATCTGAAGTGGGTGGGGAAGGAGACCCCTCTCCCTTTGCTGTGCTGCTAACTGTGTTGCTTCTCTCTTTGTCCTTTCGCAGAGAGTACGGACAGCTTTGTCTCAAGTAAGTGTCTCCTTGCCTTTTGGATACTGTGGCTGGTTTATTTCTCTTGTTTCCCTTCCCCTATGTGATTTACATAGCAAGAATGAGGAAGCCAGAAGCAGGCTGGTGGAGGATACACATGGCCCTGGCTTCCCTGTGCCATGAACAAGATTGTTGGGGAGCTTGTGACCAGCTCAATAATCTCAGGAGACTAGGAGGTGTTCATCTGCCTCTAGTGGTTCCCAAAGAAAGTCCTGTAAAGGAAATGATGGTTGGTTGTGCTGTAGCAAAAGGGATCTTAAGTTCATGCAGGCTGGGCTGTCCCCAACAACAACATCTCTCTGGTGTGGGCTGGGATGAGAAGCAGAACTCAATTCTGTCATGTTTCTTCAGCAGATTCTTCCCTCCCTCCAAAAAAACACCACACACCGCAAAAAAACATTCAACTTACTCTTTGTTCAGATCAAGTTTTGCTGGGGTCAGTTGTGTTTTAACCCTACTTAGCTCAGTAGATTTTTGAAAACTAGGAACAGGACTCAAGGGTGGTGGGAACCTATTCCAGGACACCAGACACCCAAATGTTTCTTATTTGTGAGGCTGGAACAACATCAGCAGGGTGCTGGTCTGTGTTTTCTCTGCTGATGCGCACAGGGAACTCTCTGATGGTTGATTTGTGCCTTCTCAAACAGAAAGTTGCAGCCTATTTTGGGGTGAACTGAATTTCCTCAGGCCAGGCACTGCTGTTGGAATGTGCTGGTGCCTTGGCAGTCCCACGGGAGCCAAACTGAGTTTTCTGTCTTTGGTGTTTTGGTTTCAGTCGGTGATTATGAAGTGAGTCCCACCCCACCAATCACTGTGACCCACAAACCAGAGGAGGACACTTTTGGGGTGAGTTCTGGTCTCTTCTCTACAGAACTGCTCAGTATTTGTGTTTCTCTGCTGTTTTGAGATGTTTGCAAGGGAGATCTCTTCCTTTATGACTCAAGACAGCAATCAGAAGGGTTTTGTGGCTTGTGTTGGGCAGGTAAAATAGTGACACAAACCATCTGATCCTCTTGGGTCTGCAGTGTGGAACCAGGGAACCCTTTGAAAATAAGGCATCCTGTGAAGTCTGTGCTGGCAGGGTCAGGAATTCTCACTCTTAAAAAGTAGCACCCAGAGAACAAACAAGCAGGAAATTGTGTGTTTTGGACTGCTATTGATCTGTTAAGCTTAGCCTGGTGAGGGACCTGGGTTTAGTTTGGTTCAATTCTGTCAATGTCTGTTTGCCCTCTCTCCTGCTGTGCAGGACAGGCCTAAAATGAAAAAGAAAAGTAAGTCTAGGGCTTATCACATCTCAGCATTGTCTTTCTTCTGCAGAATCCCAGTAGAAAAAAGAAAAAAAATGTGCATAAGTATTAGAAGAAAAAAATTAGCATGTTACACAATTGCTCTAATTCTGTGAAAGTTTTAAGATACTGAAATCCACAAGATGTCAACAGAACAAGCAAAAGTTAGTCTACCCTGGTTTCAGTTCTCATCTAACAGAAAACCTCCTTTAACTGAAGTGAAAGCTTTGAACTGCGAGTATGGAGTAATAATGTGCACTGGTTATTAAATATAAAGTGCAGAAAACAAGCTGGGGATGAAAATAGAGTGTAAAATAAAAATTTAAAAATATTATAGCAAATGTACCGAGAGCAGGGAAAAGGATTGCAAAATGAAATTACTTCTTCTTAGTTAAGTGATGAATTTTCTATTATAGCAGAATACAGTTTTGTAAAAGGAAGCAAAGTCTAAATGCATCACAAGACCTAGTACAGAACAATTGGACACATGCCAGAGAAATTGTTGTTTACATCAATGCAATAAAAAGTATTTTGAGCAAAGACTTGAAGGAATAAATATTCATAAATATTAAAATGAGCCTGGGATTGCAAACCCTTTAGGGCAAGGAGGTTTCTTTCCCTGCTTGTATACTGCCACAGTGGAACCACAGTTCCAGTGAAGGACTTGGACATTGCCCTACTATAAATATTTACTAGTAAAATTACAATAAATAGGGAACTGTTAGAGGCTTTTGGAAAACTCAGATGTTTTACAGGGAAAAACTCCTTAGTTCTACTTAATTTCTTCTGTTTTCTCTTTGTGTTGTGTTATTTTCCCTCACTCTGTCTTGAGGGATTTTTGGATGGAGGCAGAATTGTGCTCCCAGCTGAGCTTTGAATACCTTCAGTGTTGTGATGCCATGGCAAAGAGGTGATGTCAGAAATGGAGGCTTGGGGTGTGATGCAGAAGGGAGAGCCCAGGCATTGGAGCAGAGGCCTTTTTTCCCTGAAGATATAGGGAGTGAGAGGCTGGGAAACTGGTACCAGAGCAGCATCACTGGTGGGAAGATCCCAGACCTCCCAGTCCTGCAAAAAAGCCTGTAAAGCTGTGCCAGGGCCTGCTGCTTTAGCTTGTGTTTTCCTCCATAGCTGATATCCACAGGGGTGTAGCAAATAGTGTGAGCCTATAGAAAGGCTAACTGGGCAAGGAGGTGCTGTAGTTCTGATTCAGACTCCTAAATTCCTCTGTTTTGACTCTAAGGCTTTTTCCTTCCAGGTTTCCATAGCGGTTGGCCTGGCAGCTTTCGCTTGTGTCCTCTTGGTCGTGCTCTTTATTATGATCAACAAGTATGGCCGGCGGTCCAAGTTTGGGATGAAAGGTAGGTGCAGTTGCCTTCCCCAAGCAGGAAGCACCTTCCAGGATTGCCCAGCTCTTATAGCACACGTGGAAAGGTGTTGTGGCTTTATTCCTGCAATGCAAAGCGCTCTAAAGGGGGTGCAGTCCTCTTTTGTTTGTTGAGAGAGTAATGGAGAGAAGTGGGCTGGTGCTTCTCACCTGTGTGAGATTCTGTGGGCAGAAATGTGGATGTGTGTTCCTTCTGAGTACATAACTGCACCTACAGGTTGTCCAGGAGAGCTTTGAGTCTGCTCCCTCCAGCCCTGCATTGTGTTCAGGACAGCAGGGTCTTGGGTGAAATCTGTTTTATGGACTTGGTGGTGCACTGGCTGCAGAGCACAGGGTGTGCAGGGGCGACAGAAGGATGTGAAATTGGTTTGAGTTCTCTTGGGAAGGCAGGTGCAGCCACTCTGTGCCTATCTCTGAGTGAGGACTGAGATGCTGCTGTCACTTTATGTCCATACTGGGAAGGCAGTGGTGTGGAAGGTCACTTTCTGATGACTCTCTGATGAAAGGTTTTCTCCTCTGTGTCATGAATAATGACTAGAAATTTATTTCAAGTGTCACTGATAGTGACTGCGAAGTGAGAAGGTGTTTGATGTTTGCCAGGCAGAACTGGTCTCTGTCCTAGGGGCACGAGCTCTGTGGTGAGACAGAGCCAATGCCAGAAGCAGATAATTCTGTGCCATCTGCTTTTTGTGACTCTGCTGGTACCTCCAGCTGGGCAGTGTTGGTGGTGCCCGGTGAAGGCTGAAGGAAGAGCCTTCACATGACAAAGCAGTTCCCAGCCTAACTGGTGGCTCAGGCATGCACTGTTTGAAGCCAGGCTTTGACAAACACAGCCTTCTCCCAAGGCTCCCGAGCCTCTGCCTATTTCCTGGCCTTGCTGTGATCTCTGCTTCAGGGCAGGTTGATAGGTTTGGGAATGTTCCCTGCACTTGCCTAGGACTTTGTTTTCTTCACGTAGACATTTCCTGAGTGGGTCCAGATGGGATTCTGGCTGGAGTTTCTCCTGTGCATCCTATGGAGATAGAAGACAGGACATTTAATTAAATAGTGAATCTTCTGCACCAACTTAGGAATATTTAGTCCATATGTCCAGTGATAAGAACCATCTGGTGGAGTGTACTGACTGGTGGGTGGAGTAGAGGAATGGAAGACATGGTTCCTGGGATCAATTCCCAGCTCTTCTACTGACTCACTTAGTGGCCATAGGCAATTAGCTGTCTTAACCTCTGCCTCTGCTCTAATTTCCCCATCTGTAAAACTGGGATGATGCTATGTGCTTTCTGGAGGGATTTGTCAGAACACTTTGGAAGTACTTGGGCATGTGCCACTGATGGAGCTTTGAGATACAAATATGAAAAGGAAAAGTAACATCTGACTGCAGTGGAAGAATCAAAGGGGAGTGAAGTGAGCCTAATGTGAGTAACAAGTCTTGGTGAACAGATGTTTGTATGTGTTTGGAGGTGTTTGGATAAGTATGTCAGTGGATATTCTGCATTCCCAGAAACCAGAGGGGTGCCATAATGGGCTCTTGTGTGTGAAGTTTAATGGAGGAAAAATTGTTTAGCTAGAAAAGTCGGCTTTCCTCCTCATCATGCCATGTTTCTTCCAATTCTGATTTGAAACCACGACCCTGCAAGTTTGTACAAGTTTTATTGGCTTTGCTTGGAGAAATAGAGTTAACAGAGGACAAATACATCTTCAAAACCGGGGAGATTATTAAGTCACAATTGTCACAGGCACCACCTTACACCTCAGCTACTCACACTGCCCAAACTCTGCTCTGTTCAGTTAACTCTTGGGCAGGAGACACCCTTTGTGGCACCCAGTGTGTTATCAGTTACTAACAAAAAAAAAAAAAATCCAAACACTGAGTCTTTTTGGGCAAGTGCATCCCTGATTTGGGAGCTGTTTGTTGCCAGCTGATATATTGCCACTTGTTGTTGAAATCCCAGCTTGGCAGGCCTGCAGGAGCAGGTTTTTCCTGTTGATTTTGTCAGATGCAGAACATTGTGTGCTCGCGTTGGACATGTTACCTAAAGCACCTCATGAGTCTTTCTGAGTACATCTTTTTCCTTCTGCTTCTCCAAGTGTTGAGCAGATGGTGTATTTCCTAGAGAGAGGTGAGCGTGGACTGACAAAGTTGGATGTCACGTTGCATTTGGAAGGCTCCCTGGGCCAGCCTGCTGGATTGCCCACCAACCTTAGAACCAGGCTGCCAAGTGTCCAACACCCCTTTGTGGAAAGAAAGGCGTTGTGGCTTGAGGGATGTGTGCTGGGAGAAGACTCCGAGGGGATGATCTGTCCACTTTTGTCTTCTTCTGGCTGGTGGCACACCCTCGGAGCACTGCAGCAGAGCCCTGATGGAGCCAGGCTGGGTTTCTGATCCAGAGTGGGAAAACCTGTGGAGCTAAGCATGCCTCCACTGGGCTGGAGCCTGCTGGATTGCCCACCAACCTTAGAACCAGGCTGCCAAGTGTCCAACACCCCTTTGTGGAAAGAAAGGCGTTGTGGCTTGAGGGATGTGTGCTGGGAGAGGACTTTGTCTTCTCCTGGCTGGTGGCACACCCTCGGAGCACTGCAGCAGAGCCCTGCCGGAGCCAGGCCGGGTTTCTGATCCAGGGTGGGAAAGCCTGCGGAGCAGAGCGTGCCTCCACTGGGCTGGAGCACTGGCACCAACAAAAGCTCCTTTGAGAGCGGCTCTGACGCGCTGTGCTGCTCAGCCGAGCTCGCCCAGCCTGGCTCCCGGCCATCCCTCTGGCCTTCCCCTGCTCCCTCCGGAGAGGGCATTCATTAGCGCGGAACGGCGGAGGTCAGAGCCCCTTTCTGGCCGCTTTGGCTGCTCTGGCTGGGAGGGAACGGGGTGGGCTGAGGCAGCTGGGGGGAGCCGGGAGCTCGCTGGAGCTGGGGTGGTGGAGGCGGCAGGGAAATGGCAAACAAAGCTCCTTTTTTGTTGTGGAAAGTGGTGTTCCGTGAGCTACAGAGAGGCAGCGGAGCGAAAGCCACTGGGAGAAATGAATGTTAAAACTGAGACTCGTTGAAGTTGCAGAAATGCAGCCACTTGCTGAAGGGTGTTGTACCCAGAGGAGGGGCTGGGATGATTTTTAAAGCCTTGTGTTAGTGTGGGAAAAAGAAGAGGGTCTTAACAAACAAGAAATTGAAATTTGGAGTATTTTAGTTTACTCTGTGTCCCAAGGGGATGGTTTTTTTTGGATGGAGTAGACCACATGGGAAGAAGGAGACCAATGTCCTGCTCTCAGTTGCTACTTGCTCCAGCTCTGGTCCCAACTCAGTGTCCCACGTTTCCTGAGTGCCCACACAAGGTGGAAAGCTTTACACCTCACCTCCTGGGGTCAGGCTTGTCACTACAACCTTTGTAAACAGTGTCTTCCAATCCAAGTTTAATCTCAGCAAATGACAGGAAATGAAATTTTGTAGTATAATAAAAAAAGCCACATGCATGTCTCAGGACTACGAAAAATTAAATTTCATGAAAGAATAATAATGGCACAGAAAAGATCTGGGGCATACAAAATGTTTGGATGGCACAGTGATGGAGGCTGTAAATACTTAGGTTGATGGATTAAAATATATTCCCCTTGTAGTTGTTTTCTGTTGCATTTGCAACTGCCTCGGAATGAAGGACGTGTACTCATGCATATCTGTGATGTATTCCTGGTGCTGCACAACTTCAGTAAAAAACAAATGGAGTTAGCTGAGATATGCAGAGAAAGGTGCTAGAGAAAATCTAGAGACAAGAGCACTTGTAGTTTTGCTGAGATTAACTGTTTCCCAGGCTCTGAGATTAAAAAATACTTCCATTGTCCAAACAAGATTTTCTTCCTTGAGTGGAGCCAGCGCCAGATAATGGTTCAGACTTGGTTACAGCTGGCAAAGACTTGATTGGTTTTTAATCTGATTTCCTAAAGAAATAAGGCGTGTGATCATGCTGCCTCTCTGCACACACACAAGTGTGTGTGCACAGCTCTGCCTGCCTGCATTTCCCCTTTCTGTGCTGCAGCTTCTGCATGTGCTGGCCACTTCCACCCAGAGGAGAGGGAACAGGACTTAGAGACGCCTTTACAGGGATCATGGAATTATAGGAACTTAATAGAAAGACAACTCGGGTGATGTCCTGCTGATAAAAATGCCTCAAGGCTTTCTGGACATTGGAGAATTCATCTGGAAGCTCAGCCTTGGACAGAAAACCACAGGGATCAGGCTTTCAGGGGGTCTGCTGTGCTGGGTGGTGTGCACGTGTGTGCACATGCATGTATGTGTTTTCTTTCTGAATAAACAGAAACAGCAAGGAGTGGGGGAGACCAAATGAACAGTAAACAAATACTGCCCACGCTTTCTGTAATGTTTCAGGAATCCCATTGCTATCAGTTTATTTGATATTTGCTCTAATAGCCCTGATCAAAGTGCTGGCACTGCTGATGTGCATGTGGATGTCAGAAATACTTGCAGAGCTGTTCCATTGTAATTTAGTGTTAGTTAAAAGGTACTTAAAGCAGTTGCCTATTTGATTATGATTGGGGGCCATTAACATTTTTTTCCATAAACAGATGGTTACTGTCCGCTGAGTTGATTGCAGAACAATTCCAGAGTTTTAATTCAGGAGGAGCTGCTCCTGCAAAGATATCTTTGGTGCCTGGCTTTTTGCTTTTGTTGATTTGGATTTTTAATTTATTTTTTAGCTTTTTTCTTTTCTTTTTTTTTATTTTCCTCTTTCATTATGTAATTATTGCCATAAGTTCAAATATATATATATATATATATCTCAAAACAACGATCTACCTTTCAGATGAGGTTTAATTCTGCCCCAAGCCTGGCTATAATCATACACTGATTTTATTTTCTTTTTTTTCTCTCTCTTGATTATTGTTGTATAGGCATGGAAAAACCCTCTGCAGCTTGTACAGCCTGCATATCAAGGGTTTGCTGCTCAGGAGAAATCTGTGATCAGGGCCCTTT